GTCAAATTGAGTCGAGTTTAAAATTTATATAATTCGAATCAAATCAAATTGAAAGATTTTATAAAATAAATTTGACTTGACTTGACTCGAAAAATGAGTCGAATAGAGTTAGTTTTTAAACTCAACTCGACTTGACTCATTCGGAACTCTATTCTACAATTTGTTTTTGAAGCTAAATAATATTATTAAATTAAATTAATAAAATTAAATAATTAGTATAAATACAAAAATTTTAAATTATATAATTCAATTTTTAATAGATTTTTCAGTATTCTTTTTTTATGATAAAAACAGTTTTAACTTGTTAATATTTAAAGTTTCTAAAAAATAATTAGTTATAAATAAATTACCGTTATTTAAAAACTTGAGAAAAATGTATTTAAAAAAAAGATTTTGCTTATAGTTTATAAAAAAGTAAAAATAAGAGTAAAAAAATGTATTTTATAAATACTTTATTTTAGCAATAGATATTAGTTCTCATGATATAAAATATTATCATTTTACAATTACATTGTAAAATCATAATATCTGTAAAAATAACTATTACATATCACGTTTTATTAATTAAAAATCATAACTGTATTTATTTTTATTATTTATTATGTTTAAATAACATGACCTAAGCATGGTGTCATCAACGGAGTTAATAAACTAAGTTCAAGCTAAATTTGGGAGAAATGAAAGTCTGCTCTCCAATCAAAAAATGAATCGCAGTAAATAGTTGGTATTACGTTGTCAAACACGTTGACTGTCGCATGTACACAACTTGAATTCCAACTTAAAAAGAGTATTCTTCAGATCATAACTTTTATTTTAGTGGTTTTTTTAAGCATTAATAAAATGGAACCCGAACAGACTATTGACGAGGGACTTTATTCTCGACAACTGTATTTATTTTGTTTTTCTAGCGTAATTCAGGTTATAAGTTTGAGAGTTTTCAGGAGGAATGCTAAATTCTGTGTGATCTTACTTTTTTTGTGTGTAGCTATGTTCTTGGTCATGACGCTATGAAGAAAATGGGCAGTTCCAATGTCCTTATTGTTGGACTAAAGGGTCTTGGTGTCGAAATTGGTATTTTAAATTGTACTATTTTAAATTTGAAACTAAAAAAAAGTTTATTGAAAATTTTCGTTAATAAATAAAGCGAAAAACGTTGTTCTTGCCGGTGTAAAGAGTGTAACTCTTCACGATCCTGAGCCAGTAAGGATTTCCGACTTATCTACGCAGGTTAGAAATAAAATTTCTTATAAATTAAATTCTTTTTTGTATTCGATTAAATGATGAACTGATTCTCCCTATTTACAGTTTTTCCTCAGAGAAGATGATGTCGGAAAACCAAGAGCCTCAATAACTGCGCCGCGATTGTCCGAACTTAATCAATATGTACCGATTTCCATACTGGAAGGTGAATTAACCAGTGATAAAATAAGAAATTTTCAGGTGTGAATTTTACCGTTTTATACAAGTAACTTAATTCTATTGTGCACGTAAAAATTAACGCGTGCAAATTGTTATAAAATCCAAGGTTGTCGTATTAACAGAGACACCTCTAAAAAAACAATTGGAGATTAATGATTTTACCCATGCTAATGGAATACACTTCATATCAACTGACGTGCGCGGCCTTTTTGGGTAAAATAATTTTAGTATTGTTTTAATATATGTTTGTTCTATCTTTAATTAATCACATATTGTGGATATTATTAGCATTGCCTTTAATGATTTTGGTAATGAGTTTCAAGTTATTGATACCACTGGAGAGAATCCGGTATCAGGAATGGTAGCTGCAGTTACTAAAGAAGAGGATGGTGTTGTTACATGCCTGGATGAATCAAGGCATGGATTGGAAGATGGAGAATACGTGACTTTTACTGAAATAAAGGGTATGGAAGAACTAAATAATTGCGAACCTAAGAAAATAAAAGTGCTTGGTAAGTTGTACCAATATTGTTCAAATTAATTATTATTTGTAATAAAACTTATCAATAATATATTATAATTTTTGTAGGTCCATATACTTTTAGCATCGGTGATACATCAAGCTATGGAGATTATACTAGTGGTGGTATATTCACTCAAGTCAAGCAACCGAAAATAATTCAATTTGTGAGTTATAACTATATTGCTTAAAATTCCCAAAAAATCGAATCTAACATTTGTTGCTTTTATATTATTTAGAAATCTCTTCGAGAATCTTTGAGGAAACCAGAATTTGTCATTTCTGATTATGCTAAATGGGATAGACCCAGTCAATTACATATTGGTTTCCAAGCTCTTCATGAGTTTCTTGAAACCCGTGGCTCACTACCTCGTCCACATAATGAAGCCGATGCCGAAGAAATAGTTCGACTTGCTAAAAGTATTAATGATCAATGCGAGGATAAGGTACTTTATGATAATCATTTCAAAACAATGTAATATTTATTTATACTAATATAATGAAATTTTTAATAGATTGAACTTGATGATAAGCTACTCAAACAACTTTCATACGGCGCGGCTGGAAGTTTATCTCCAATGGTTGCTGTACTTGGTGGATTAGTTGCTCAAGAAGTTTTAAAAGCCTGCAGTGGAAAGTTTAATCCAATACAACAATACTTTTATTTCGATTCTTTGGAATCTTTACCAGATGATGACTTAAATGAGGAAAATTGTGCTCCAGTATGTAAATTAGTTTAAATTCTATAAAATTCGTTTTAAATGTTATTCTAAAATTAATCTTATTTTATTATAAGTGTAATTCTCGTTATGATGGTCAGATAGCAGTATTTGGTAGAGATTTCCAACATAAGATTGCAAACTTTAGAGAATTTTTGGTACGTTTATTTTAAATTATTTCTACAAATAATAAGTATATTAACATTGTTTCTATATCGTTTGTTTAGGTTGGTGCTGGCGCTATCGGATGCGAAATGTTAAAGAATTGGGCTATGATGGGATTGGGTACTGGTCAAGGTGCCATACATGTTACTGATATGGACACAATTGAGAAAAGCAACTTAAATCGACAATTCTTGTTCCGTCCTGGCGATGTTAGCGTGTGTATTAATTTGATCCCAAATATAATTTTGAAGGTTTAATTTGCAAAATTAATTTTTATTTTTTCCAGAAATTAAAATCAGAAACTGCAGTTGTTGCCATAGGTAAAATGAATCCTGACACCATAGGAAAAGTCATTGCTCATCAAGATCGTGTTGGTGTTGAAACCGAAAATGTTTACAATGATAATTTCTTTGAAAATTTGGATGGAGTGACTAACGCATTGGACAATGTTGATGCTCGTAAGTAATTTTTATTATATTGATTTCAAAGAAATGATTTCGGATTATGTTAATTTATGTTGTTTTAATTCTTAGGTAAGTATATGGATAGACGATGCGTGTACTTTAGAAAACCTTTATTAGAGTCCGGAACATTAGGTACAAAGGGTAACACGCAAGTTGTTATTCCGTACCTCACTGAATCCTATTCGTCATCTCAAGACCCACCTGAGAAATCTATTCCAATTTGTACATTAAAAAACTTTCCTAATGCCATTGAGCATACAATTCAGTGGGCACGTGACTTGTTTGAAGGGTTATTTAAGGTTCCTGCAGAAAATGTAAATATGTATTTAAGCCAGCCTGGGTTTGTTGAAGGAACATTAAAGCAAGGTGGTAGCGCTAAGGAAATCTTGGAAGGAATTCAAAATTTCTTAGTTACCGCACGTCCATTAACATTCGAAGCGTGCGTTGCTTGGGCTCGTTTGAAGTTTGAAGAATATTTCAACAATAATATCCAACAGTTGCTTTTTAATTTCCCAAAAGATTCCGTAAGTTGAGTGCCTTGACGTTTGGTGCGGATAAAGTTGACGCAATTCTAATATATTTTATTATCTTGTTTAATTTTCCAAATTTTTTACATAGGTTACATCTACTGGTGCAAAGTTTTGGTCTGGTCCAAAAAGAGCACCCGAACCCATCATATTTGACGCTAATATTGTATGTATTTATTTAACAAGTGCTTTTCCACCATCACAATTATTAATTCAACAATTTTACTCTCTCTTAGGACGCACATATGGAGTTTATCGCAACAGCTGCAAATTTACATGCATTCAATTATGGCCTCAAAGGTAGCATATCTGTAAAAGTAGTGAATTTATTATTATGATCATTGTTATTCTTATTCTTATAAATTTCTAATTGCTAAAAACATTGATTTAGGAGAAACGAATCGAGATATTATAAAGAATGTATTAAATACAGTTTTTGTACCCGAATTTCATCCAAGATCTGGTGTAAAGATTCAGGTACAAGAAAATGAAAACATTCAGCAAACAACTGATGAAACTGAGTTACAAGAAATTGTTAGTAGTTTACCCGATCCAACATCAATTCCAGGATTTAGATTGAATCCTGTAGAATTCGAAAAAGATGATGATACAAATTTCCATATTGATTTCATCACCGCAACTTCTAATCTACGGGCCATTAATTACGGTATTCAGCCAGCAGATCGTCACAAGACTAAATTTATTGCTGGCAAAATTATACCAGCTATTGCTACGACGACATCTTTGGTAACAGGATTAGTATGCCTAGAATTATACAAAATTATTGCTGGCAAGAATAAGTTGGAGGAGTATAAGAATGGTTTTGTAAATTTAGCGTTACCATTTTTTGGATTTTCAGAGCCAATTGCGATGCCGAAATTCCAGGTAATGACTAAATTATTTATCATTTGCTTAAATCCTTCATATTTTAAACTTAATTATTCGTCCTATTTTATAGTATCACGAAACAGAATGGAGCTTATGGGATAGGTTTGACATTGAGGGTGATCTTACACTTCAAGAATTCTTGGATTACTTTGCAAAAAATCACGAATTAGAAGTGACAATGTTGTCATGTGGTGCTAGTATGTTATATGCGTTCTTTTTGCAAGGAAAGAAAAGGGAAGAGCGGAAAAATATGAGGTATAATATTAGGAATGGTGATTTTTTACGAAATTTAAAATATTTAAATATTAATTTATTACTTGATCTTTGTTTTAATAGGTTATCGGAATTAGTGGAATCAATTTCAAAGAAACCAGTTCCACCACACGTTAAAGCATTAACTCTAGAAATGGTTGTAAATGATCGTGATGGTGAAGATGTAGAGGTAAATTATATAAAAAAAAAAAAGATAATAAAATTTTATTTTTATAAATTGATTAAATTAATTGTTTTATTGCTTCTTTCATAGGTTCCGTATGTTAGACTAGTTATTAGGGCATAGGGGGCAAGTTATTTATAAATAACTCTTATAGAAAGCTGAAATAAATTACATCAACTTTAACAAATTTTAAGGGTGCACAAGGAATTAAAATTAGATAACCTTTTTAAGTTAGTTAATTTGATCAAAAAATGTATCAATGTTGTACCGAAGTTTGTTTATATATACACCAAGTTTTTTAACTCTAAACGAAGTTTCTCGTAAAATTCAATAAATTAAAATTAAATTCATACATCATACATTCATTTTCTATAACGATATATGCATTATCTATAATAATTCGTATAATGTCACAAGAAAATACAATTCCAGGAAATTACCAACAGGTACCTTTAAGAGTTCTTTCTATAGGGTCAGCATACGAAGACACGATCCTTTATGTTGATAAGTTTCCACCCGAAGATGGTAAACAGAGAGCACAGAGAGTAGAAAAGAGAAGAGGAGGAAATGCAGGGAATACTTTAACTGTTTTATCTCAATTTCCCTTGGCCCAAGGATATTTTATGGCTTCTATGGCATCTAAAGAAGCCTCTACGTATGCGTTGCGCGTTTTCTTTATATATATAAATATAAATTTTATTTTTTAAAAAAAAAAAAATAATATTTTTTAAGCAAGTATCATACATAGTTCGGGAAAAGGATTAATTGAAAATGATATTTATAAATAGGTTTTTGCTTCAAGATTTCGAGGCACATAATATAAAGACATCAACGTGTATATTTAGGTCTAACGCAAAGCATGCACCCGTGGCTTATATTATACATGCTAACAGTACAAGCTCACGAACAATCATAAATTACAATAGGTAATGCTGAAATTGAAAAAAAAAAAAAAAAAAAAGTGGATTTCTTTTTTTGATATTAATTTTTGAAATGATTTACAGCATAGACGAATTAACTTTTGAAGAATTTAAGCGGAAATTTGATGCAGTATGTACCGAAGAAGTGGTTAGTACATCGAATAGTGAATTGCCATTTAACTGGATACATTTTGAAGGGCGTAACGCAGTAGAAGCAGCAAAAATGATAGACCATATTGATACAAAAGATTGGCGTCCTAGAACAATAATTAGTGTCGAATTGGAAAAACCTTACCGTAGAGGATTGGAAACTTTAATGAGTAGAGCTGATGTCATATTCTTTTCTAAAGTATTTGCTGAGGGTAAAGGGTATGAAAATGCTGGGGATTTCTTAAAAGTTATGGGACCATTTTGTAAAAATACGTAAGTAAATCCAGAAAATGTTTATACTTTGACTTTATGAATAAATAATATTTTTATTTATTTATTTATTTTTTCTTTCCGATTATTAAGAGCGCACCTTTTTTGTACATGGGGAAGTTCAGGGGCTATGTGTTTTCATAATCCAACGCGTAAATTATTCACGGCTCCAGCTTTACCAATAGCAAGCATAGTCGATACGGTTGGAGCCGGTGACACATTTACGGCGGGGATCATTTATGGATTAACCCAAGGCATGACACCTGAAGGTTGTCTAAAGTTTGCTTGTGAATTAGCGGGTAGAAAATGTGCTCAGGTAGGTTTTGACGGTGTAGTAGAGAAAATGTCGTCGGAATATAGTTTAAAATTTTAAGTTATAATAATAATTAATAATTCAATTAATTTAGTAATAGTAATGATATTAATGATAATTTAATGATGTATAAAGTACTTGTTTATTGCATAATAAAATTTTCTCACTCATAATTTAAGTAAACGAAACTTTTATTTGAAAAAAAAAAAAATTTAATTCACGCGTCTTTTAATTTGCTCAAAATATTTAACACTTTTTCATATGCATTCTAGAATTGCTTATTATAGTAATTATAAATAACTGAGAAGGATAGAAGTTGAATTTGATGTTTAACCTAATTTATAGAAGTTAGCTGATCAGGATACTAAGCTTTGCCACATGATCTCTAACCAATTAAACACATCTCTATTCAATACACCGGATGTGTTCTATAGGAAATTTTCAGATAATTCCACTTGACGCATTCATTTTGTTTTGATAATTTCAACTGACCTTAGAAAGTTGAAAGAATTTTTTTTTTGTTTATTTTTTCACCCAGGTATTTTTTTTTTTTTTTTTTTAAAAAAAAAAAAAAAAAAAAAAACCAACTACTTGGGACGACTTTTGCTATCAATATATAACCGTACGGCTAATATACCTAGAATATTTGGTGAATCTTTCGGCTCATCTCTTAAGCGTCGAGTTTATAAACTTTTTTTAACGTCGTTTCAAAGGATTCTCAGGTATTTGCTTTTTAGCAATATTATGAGCATTGCTGAGGATAAGTGGTCTATACATCAATCTTCTCAAGTTCCACCTTCTTCTCAACATCAACACCCCGAAATATCTACACAAGTCAACAGTATGCCTGCTGAAAACTTTATGCAATCCTTTACGTACGATGGTCAGGCTCCTCAAGGTCAAATGCATCAACAAATGTAAGTTATGATAATATCTAAACTTCTTTTTTTTTTTAAAAAAAAAAAAAAAAAAAAAAAAAAAAAAAGAGTAAAGAAAAAAATATTATATATCAAAAAAAAAAAAAATAAAAACACTAGTGATTTTTGTGCCGCGCACGTTTTTTCAGTTATCAGTTACCACAACGAGCATAGCATAAAACCCGCGTTTTATTTGTGCTTCGTACAAACTGGTTTTGGTTATGCAAGTTGGTATTTCTTGTCGCCGCGTGTTACCTTACACACACTTGTTTAATATTTTTCGAAGCTGCGTCCCTTCTCTTGGTTGAACATCCCTAACATGATTTTAACTTAATTTCATGATTTGACTTATACACAAACAATATGATTATCATTATGCAAATTAATCTGATGTTGATATCATAGGGCTGTCCATTGTAATAACGGTGTCATGTTCATACCACCGAAACAAGAAATTGATACGACCCCAAACAGATCGCAAAATCAATATCAAAGGTATTTGCTAATTATAGAGTTTAAATAGTTTATTGTGATGTGAACCTTAATCATCTATTTAATCAGACATTACATCAAATTATTTTGTTTTAAAAATGATCATTTGAATATATGCTATCATCATAAATTTTTACTAAATTTATTTATCCGTATTTAGTTCTGTTTCGATGTCTGCTCCTGTAACCCCTTCTACGCCTCGTCAAAATGGTTCTCCAATTGGAACTCCCATAACGCCAGTTTCCGCACCACCAGATTGTAAAAATGATAATAGACCTACCATTACAGCAAACCCTTATCACGCCACACAATTTCAACAACAGGTAATTAGGAAACGTAGGGACAATTCTTTAGGGTTTCCTCCAGATGCTGGTCCATTCTTTTCTCAAACACAACAGCATCACAACATATATAGTATGGATAGATCTAATAGGTATGATTTTATAAAATGATTATCATGTTATATGTATTTCCTTGTGACTTATTATATTCGGATTTTTGTTATTATTATTAATTTATTCGTGATCGTTAAGTTATAAGCTTCGAATCAATTCAAAAGTTGATCGTGGATTCTTCTTAGCTGATAATGATTGGACATGCTATCGAAGAAATTACTTCCAGATTAGTAGTGCATTTTCAGTAACAGGAACCTCTCATGCTATTAATGAATCTGAAGTACCGTGCTTGATAGAAGTTGAAGGTCAATTTCATACGGTCACTCATTTTTCATTGGGTATTTCTGCGCGTGTCTCCAACAGCGATAAAAAAATTGAGTTGGTTCAACATACGCCAAAACGTGACAAAGGACCACAAATGACCCCTGTGCCAAAACCTATTCGAGCGGGTGGTAACCTAAACCTAAGTTCCGTGGGAACAAATACAAATATTGTTACATTTGAACGTATTCAATTTAAGACGGCTACTGCTAATAATGGTAAACGTCGTGCTGCTCAACAATACTATGTAGTCATGGTAGATTTATATGCTCATGTTGAAAGTGGTGACCCTTATAGGGTTGCAACAGCAACTTCAGCACCTTTAGTGGTTCGTGGACGCAGTCCCGGACATTATGCTGACAGTCACGATCGTTTTAATCCAATTGGAATGCATCCAACATTCCCAAATGACGGTCGTCAACATATTACTTTCCCTGGACCTAACAGCGCCCCTGGTATGATGCCACCCGATTTTAATGCTCCACCGTTCCCGGGACCTTATGGTCAGTACCCTCCATTTCAAGGCTACCCTCCTAACGGTCCAATACGTAATGACGCCTTATCTATAATGATGTCGACCGGCGCGCCAAATCCTGCAGCTTCCCATTATCATTCGCAGCATCCTCCACATTATATGGTTCAAAACATTCATGAAGGAGAAAATCCCAATCCGGAAATGTACAACAATCCAAATATGGACCCAAATAACATAGAAGGTAAGTTAGAATGATACAGATTTAATCACGTGAAATTCAATAGGTAAAAACAAAAAAAAAATTTTTAGTTTCTACGTCAACAGCACCTGCAACGTTTGCAAATTTTGAATCACGACCGATTACGACGTCGGCTTCAGACTCTCCCGCTGTTACTGGCGCAAAACCATATATGAAAATTGAGATCCCACAATCATCTCAAGTACCGAATTTACCGAATCATCCGCTCACATCTCCAGTTTTTCACTCTCAAGAATATGTAGAAAGTTTTGGAATGTACCATAATAATGGACATCCTGCACATGCAGCAGCCGTACACAGCGGAGGTTATCATTCAGATAGTGAACAACATCATAGCAACGGACCGAATAAACAAAAGGATGATACTCAACAAAATTCCGAAAATATTCAAGATCAGCCTAGTCCGCAGGTAAACGGTGGCGATAATAATGTTCAATCTAACAATATAAATCCAAATGATAAAGGTTCAAAATCACCCGTATCAGTGAACGGGACCAATGAAAGCGCCACGAAGATTAATCCAAGATCAAAGTAAACTAAACGAGAAGATGGATGAGGATAAACGGTTAAAACGATGTGCGAAAAAGAATGAGTATACTGAATAATAGTGATTTTTACTATTTTTTTTTTCTCTTTCTTTTTTTTTTTTTTTTTTTTTTTTTTTTTTTTTTTTTTTTTTTGATGCTTTTAAGATTTAGAGTGATTCCGTCTTTTTATTTCTTTTTTTCTTTTCTTTTTTTTTTTTTTTTTTGTTGAATCTATTGTATATGAATTTATTGTATGATAATCACTCGTGAGAGATATATATTTTTTTATTGGGTCTGAATATAGGTCCCCTTGTGGAATGACGAAAAAAAAAAAAAGAACTTTTCTTTAAAAAATTACTCATGAATTGAGCTTTCATGTTTCTATTTGGGGTTTGGAAATAAAAGGGCTATGGGATTTTGTGCGCGTCTTTTTAAATTAGAGATAGAAAAGGTTATCAAAAATCAAAAAAAAAAAAAAAATTTTTATTATTTTTATCCATTTCTTTTTGCATCATATTATATAAATAATCTTTTTTCAATCTTAATTCTTTATTTTATTATTTCTTATTATTATTATTATTATTATTATTATTATATATTATATTTTTTCAACCTTTAGCTCGGGAAACATTTTTAGTTTTTTATTCAGTATTTTATGAATTATTTCAAAAGATCTGAGGAAAAAAAAAAAAATTAAATTATATAAAGTATATTTATCATTATAATAATTTTTTAAGAAATTGATTATTGAATGGCAAATTATGATTAAACACGTTTTTAATAAATTTATCTTGAACAACCGAAAAGAAATTCATAACATAGGGTATTAATTATACAAGATATATATATTTTTTATTAAAAATACAAATAAAATAAATAAAATTACAAATAATTATAATTTTGGGAAATATATCGGTCGATCCATATATCGATCGACATACAAATATCTGTCTTAGTCAATTAATCTTAACCTAACAAGAATAATATATGTGAAGAGGACAGTTAAAATCAAGCAATATATAAAATACCAAAATTTCCAAGTGGGTCTACTATCCGCGAATATAGGCATACCCCAAATTTGTTCTAGAGATTTTACTTGAGTAAAACTACGCTGATGCGGTGGTATATTTGAAATGTCTGTCCATTGTAAATGTGGTGGTACATTTACATCACGATTAACAGGGGTAATTGGAGGTTGTTCAATGAATATTATTTGTGGCGGTGGTGGTGGTGGTGGTGATTGTGCAGGTTGATGTGGATCAACAACTGACATTGGAATTTCATTTGTTCGTCTTCCTCCAGGTAATTGATTATCTTCGTAATTATTACTCATTTCCCTGCCATGCTGTCGAGCTTCGGCTCCATAATTTCCATAATTTGTTTCACTTCCATAATTTTTTTCACTACCATAAGTTGTTTCACTACCATGATTTCTCGATTCACGACCGTATGGTCTAGCTTCAACAACATAATTACTAGATTCACTACCTGGTTGTGTTTGATGTCCCATAGATGGTGGTGATGGTGGTAAATTTTTATCTAAATTATTGGTCAATGAATTTCTACTATTATAGAAACCTCCATCGCTACTTGCTACTGATGCTACATGTCCATGATGATGTTGACGTGGTGAGGAAGTAACGATTTCATTCCGCGCAACAACATCATCTTGCGGGAATACGATTTCATGAGCACCAGATTCTTCTTTACTATAATCTTGTGATGGTGTTGATTGGGAATATCCTAGTGATGTATGAGTTGGTAATAGTTGTTTGTAATAATCTGAAGAACTAATTTGAGATGAATTCATTGGAGATTCGATTTGGGTTACCGTTTGTGGGGTCATTTGAGCTGATGTATTCACGATCTGTGAAGGAATCTGCTGCGAGTCAGTTTGCGAATTCGTACCTTTAAAATTTGTACCTCGTACAGATTCTTGTGTGTTTGCAACTTGTGTAGGTAACGGTGATATTAATGGAGATGGTGGAATATTATAATAAGATTGAGGGTTCGATAAAGATGTAACAGGATGCGAGCCTGAAGGTACTTCAGGTGGTGGATTAGCTGTTACAGTTAAAGGTAATGATGCTGATTGTAGGCTATCTTTTTGCCATGAATTAATTGAATTGATAGAAGTTGATCTGGATGATTTATCTTTAAGCATGATTGGATTTGGATTTGGTATACCACCCAGTGAAGGTGGTGGTGATGTTGGAGGTAATGGAGGTATATTATTACTATTTTGTGATTCCAATGTATTTTTTGAGATAATAGAAGGTGAAAATGATGCCTTATTTATGTTTAATGGTTCAGCGATAGGTTGTGACGATGTTGCAGATGCATTATTATTATTATATTGTGTTTCACCTGTAGTATTTTGAATATTATTGTTATATGAATCATATCTATTAAAAGTTACTCCGACGTCTCCACCCGATGTCTCCAATTTTTTTGCTGTATATGCATCTGGTGGGTATCGCTCATATCCAATTCCATCTGATTTTACATATTCTTTTGCTTCATTTGTAATATATGCTGTATTAGGTTCCGATGAATAATATATTTGTCTAGTAGTTTCATAATTCCCTCCTTGCTGTTGCAAATTATCACCGCTACCTTGAACTCCTTTGTCGCCTTCTTGATCAATAATAATTGGCACTCCTTGACTACTATTATTCGGACCATTTTGATCTCCTCTTTGGCCAATAATTGAATTATCATTCATACCACTGTCTGGACTATTAACGTTACCATTGAACGAACTAATTGAATATACGTTAGGTTCCGGTGAAATAGTCGTATGTTCTTGTTGTTGAGGAACCGAAGCTGTCCGGGATGAATATATCTGTTGCTGAGGTAGAGATGACGACGCATATTGATGAGGACTACTTTGTTGTTGATGCGATGAGTTCGTGTTCACTTGAGGATCTGATACATTGTACTGACGAGGACTTCCTTGGTAACCATGTGGAATAGACGCTTGATTTTGATGTGTATTCACTTGCTGTTGGTATGTTAATTGCTGTTGTGAATGAGAAATTCCACCTTGTTGATATTGTGAATAAGGAGGCTGTTGATAATATTCATTTTGAGTATCATGTTGACCTCTTGTTGCTTCATATACTTGATGATTATTATCGCTTATTTCTCGTTGGTGAGAATAGTTATATCCCTGTTGTAGATTATATTCTGCATTTTCTTTATTTTCATTACCACCGTTTTCCCCGTTATTATAATTATTAAACTTTCCTTCCATTATTATTATTATATTTTCGTTAATAAATGGTTAAATTAATTATAAAACGATAAACTTAATTAAATGCATTAATTTTTAAACCAAAAAAAAAACGCATATTTCAAAAAAACAAAAAAAAAAAAAAACTTTTTTTTATTCTTGTTTCGTTTGTGATTATTTCACAGTGTAATTTGCACGACGACATAATCATTATCTATATAATTAAGGTAATAGTAATCTACATATCTACATCTGAGTAGTACAAATGTTATTAATCATCTATTATTTACTATTTTTCGTTGATTCTATCAATTCAGTAGATAAATTAATTTATAATTTACGCACCTGCGCAAAATGCAGGGGTGCGTAAAATACATGTAAAATTTTAAAATACAATATTTTTAGGCATGGTTAAAATTTTTTTAAAAATTTTATTAAAAATTTAAGCAATGCATTTTTAATTTTTTGTACGCACCCCTATATTACAAAATTTGTCTAATAAGCAAATAACAAATAGCATTTCTCAAATGTTGATAAAATGAAAATTAGTTTTTGCTGTGATTTGAGCATATTAATTAAACATTCTAAATAATAATCATCATTCTTTCTTTTTTTCCATTGGACATGTAGTATGATTATGTCCACTTTCATTGCATAATCCACATTTGCGAGTTTTGTTAACATTATTAGAAGTTTCTAAAGGTTCTTTGAATCTTGCAGTATCTGGTGGTCTTCCTTTTGGACGCCTACTTTCACTATCATCTAGAATATTTTCAATAAATCATTAGGAAAATTTTCATTATCTGAATTATCACTTGAAAGTGATTCTGAAATACTCATTTTAAGGATATTCAACAATAATATTTATAAAAAAAAAAAATAGGGAAAGAGAGAATAAATTCAATTCAGTTCAGTTCAGTTCAAAAACTGCCAGTTTAGTCTTTGAGTTGAGCTGACCTCCAGTTTATTATTTGAAGTTAAAACTGCTGTTGTAATTATAGTTCTAACTTCAGTTAATCATGTATTTGAATTTTTATTGATTAATTAATATAACCATGGATTGTATTTTAAAAAAGTCCTCTATTTTAAAAAATAAAATGGCAAATAAATGCTATTGTTATCTTTATATATACTTAAATTTAAAATAAATTTGATAATTATTTAAAAAAATGTAATCTGTTTAATAAATTCATTTATTATATTTTATTGATAAAATAGCATTATTAAAAATACTATAAATTGGAAATAACAAGTTTATTATTAACTGAATCAGCATTTTATTCTATCTAGCTTTTCAAATATAAAGAATCATAAGCTGTATGAGGATTAAAATGATTTCAAACTTTTATAATAGTATGTGATGCAACTAAAATACTTGTTCACTTGATATACTAGTTAGTACTTTAAATAATAAGATAATTAATTATGTACCATTTTTAATAAAATCAGAAATTTGTTTGCATATTAATGCTACCAAAATAATAGCTTAGACTATATTAATAGTAAAGCTAAATATCTTTTTAATTCTCCTTTTAATAATTATATTTCATTTTGTTGTTACATAATTAAATTTTCAAAAAATAATCTAACACTTGTATTTTTTCTACAATATCATTTGAATTATCTAAATCTTGTAATAATATATATATAAGTATTCTTAAATAAAATTGATTTATTGCTTTATAATGTTATTCTTCAAATAGAAAAGTAAGTAATTTTGAATTTAAATTAAAAACAGTTAGAATAGTTATTGAGAAATCCAATAATTATCAATTTTTTGTGTATAGAATCTGTCATAATAGATTTTTCTAATATGTGATATCTATATATATGTTGAAGAATTTCTATAAAGTTTATCTAATATCATTAATAATTAGATACAAACTTGAAAAAAAAATTTTATTACCTAATACATTAGTTTTAATAGAATGATCATTAATTGTATTTGATTTTATTCATTTTTATTAAAATAAAATGTCTCTAACTATTTATTATTATAAATAAAAAAATCAAGTTCTTCATATATTCATTTAAATTTTCTAACATTAAAAATATGATATTTTATTGTGTAGTGATATCAAGATTAGGTTTAAGATAATCTTTTTTTATTACCTTATAATAATTGCAAAATGCATTACAAAAAAATAGTAAAATGATAGATTTTATTTATAAATATTCTAATCTTATCAATGATTTCTGTTCTTAATTACATTTTATAATTAATTGTGATATTAAAATATGTACTACACATTAATAATATTAAAACTTTTTATCATTTCAAATTTCTTCAAATTCAGTTATCATATTTTTATCACAAAATATTATTATTGTATTATTATCTATAGTAAGAAAAAGAATTTTTTCATTAAAATTTATTTATTTATTAATCGAAGAAGTTTTCTTTTATCATAATACTAGTATAATAATGCTTAAAATAAATTAAATTAAAAAAATAATATTGCATATTTCATTTATCATCGATATAGTAAATAGTTACTTTCAGATAAGCTTGATTTATAATTAAAGTTCAAATATTAATAGTAAAAGATACTTTTGTTAAGAGATTTTTAAGTTCATTTGTAACTAAATAATAATGATCTGTAAATCTATTAATTATTATTTTGCTAATATTAATACAATTATAAAACATATCTTTAATCTAGAATATTATATAATTCTTTAAACTAAAAATTTTTTATAATATAAAATAGCATTTAAGATCTAACAACAAAATCAATAGTAGCATTTATGCAATCTTTAACTCTTATTATATCAAATTTTCTATATAGATTTTTAATAAAATGAAATTATATTTATTACTTATTGAAATATTATATTTATATTTTTTGGATATATAATCTATTAGAGGTTACGTTGATATTTAAGACTATCCTCTTTTTTACACAAATTACAAATTATTAATACAACTTTATTCATATTATTTATTTCCAAACAGCTAAAGTAGTTTTTTCTTTATTTTTATCAATATTAAGTATATTTGTATTATCTTTCTTTTATTGTTTAAGAATAAATAGTTTATTTATATTATCATCAAAATCAAAATCAAAATTAAAGTCTTTTATTTCTTTAAAATTTATATAAATATTTTTATTATTTGATATATTAAGTAAAAAAAAATGTTAATTAATAATCTAATATTTTGTATTTAAATATAATAATTTAGTATTACTTACTAAAAATAATAATTTAATAGCATTGATTCTAATGTTAATTTAACTAATTTTTTAAAATAAATTCTCATTAAATATAAATTAAAATAATAAAATTGATTGTTTTACGAAATTTTAGTTAAAAAAATCACATAAAAATTGTTAATTATCCAGAAATTTTAATTTGATTATTAGAAAATTATCATTGAAACTATATTTTCTTTTAAAAATAAAAAATTTGAAATCATGTAAAAATTTAGTAATTTTATCAAAATTATAATTATTAGATAATTTTATAAATTAAAATACATATAATCTGTAAAATAGAATTATAATTGAATTTGTAATAATTAGATAATTTTAACTAAATAGAATTATTCATTATATGCAAAATAGAATTACTCATTTGAAAATGTTTTAAATTTCTAATATATTTCAATATAATTTTAAATAAATTTATAAATTATTTTTTTTCTTTTTTCTATCATTTAATAATTTTTAAATTTTCAATTTATCAAAAATGTTATACAGAAGATATCCAAAAGTTTTTGAATGATTTTTCACTTAATATACAATAGAAATTTTAATGCATAAATTTTTAAAGCTTAATTAATATTTTATTTAGAGCATAATAAGCTCTACATTTTATATTAAGCAACTAATACT